CACTGCGGATCACACGCGAGCTATTGTGAGACAGTGTATTTACATTTTGTCCAGCCGTATGCATTTTGGAACACTGCGTATTATTGGCTAATAAATAACTCAAGATTTTCTTTACGTATATTTTTAAAGATCACGGTTACATGCGAGATAAAAAGCTGGAAATATGCTTGAAAATGTTATAAGTGAGAAATTATTTCTGTCTAGATCTGTCTGTCGGTCTGTCTTGTTGGTTTGTTACTCATTACTACTAAACAGATTTTAATGTTTGTCATGAATGTAGATTGTTTCAAGGATATCTTTTTAGATTTGTTAGATTTATTAAATACCAGTAAGTCCTCGGAGAGAGCCTGGAGATCTGTAGTACTTTTTTTTTGGTTTTGGTTTTGACTTAGTTCAGACTCCAGACTCTCACAAGGAATATCTTGTAAGATTAAATACATACTTTTGTTACTTTGTTCAATATTATAAGTTTCCTTGTGAGCAGTAAATAAAGATTATTATTATTCCTAACTTCCAAAAAAAATCTCATCTTTTATTATTTTTTTTTTCTCAGCTTTTGCTGGTTTTCTCCACACTATTATTATTATTATTATCTATTATTACAAACGAAAGTGTCATGTAGACAAAATTGTAGGAAACAGCACCAAATAATAATTAAAACATAGTAATGATACTATAAGATAATTTGTTTTAAAAAATATTATCAGCAAATGATTGTGCTCAAATTAAAACATGAGACGTTGAATTATGCAGTTTTTTTCGGACTACTCTAATGCTGTTGGCCGCAGCTGGCCTTTACGGCTTCATCAGGGGGCGAGTGCAGATGTTACTCCAAACCAAAGGAAGGACTTATGGAGCGGTTGAAGGCCAACTCCCGCCTGACGGATACGCCTTCAATACGAGGGCACCTGAGGGGTTCGAACCTCGGCTCAGGCCGTCGTAATTTCGATTCCGTTTGAATTGAACGGGAGATCGATCGGTGAATGACTTCTTATAGATAGACTATCTATATCTGATAGTTAGTATTAACACCATTGTATCGTTATCCACTAAAATAAATATATATATAAATAAAAAAACTTCCTTTTACAGTAAGTTGAAATATAAAAGTAAAAGTTTCACCCTTAATTGGTGAAATAACATTTCGTTATGGTTTATTCATAAGACTATTATAATGATGTGAAAATATTCTCGAAACTTCTTATTGTATAGTCTTGACCTAAACAGGATTCGTTCGGATCTTTTGTGTCAATAAATGAACGAATCTTGTCTAATAATTATGTATTCTATTCAAATTATTTTATATAACACTAGCTGAGCCACGCAGCTTCGTCTGCGTCACATTTTCTCTGTTTTGCAGCAATTTTTTATAGCTTTTTCGCAAGTTTTAAACGTGCCTTAGATAGTCTTCCTCGATAAGTTTTATAGAAAATAGCCAGACAGATGAATACAAATATTTGCACAGTGCGAGGAAACGAACCTGCGACCATCGGAAGTATTTCTCTGAAGTTAGGTATAATATTTCCTTATCTCCATGCCATCTGCGGAAGAGTTCCGGTTTCACTGTCTTCGAATATTTGTCAATAATAATAACTTGTCTAGCTGAGCTTTCATCTAGCGAAAGCAAGGTCAATGACACCGTGACATATGGCATATGACCAGTGGCTATTGTGGTCGAAATTGTGACATCAGTGTCATCTAATATGCCTACGTCTTCAGAGAAGAAATTATGGATCATTCTATGGATTCACAGTACGGGTGCCGGATCCATCGTGTGGCAGAGAGGGAAACTCCGAGCAGTTCTCGGGACTTGTGACCAGGGTGTAGGTATAAGGGGCATCTTGAAAACGTACGTCAACACACCTGGGTGTAGATTTAACAGGCCCTTTATTACCTCAACTCTCACCTTCACCGCTCGTGTTTCTCTCCCTGCCCAAACAAATGTGGTAAGAGCCTCCTAGTGCAGCTTTAGATACATATTATAGATTCCTATATATGTAGAATTTACTGCAGTTCTAGAAATGGTCACGATCTTTTAGAAGATTCTAGAAAGTTATATCTATAATTTTTTATTTAAAAAAGAATCACTTAATTGTGATATTTATTGTTTTGTTTGTTCATTAAGCCTGTTACCAATGAGCATAGGTTACAAGGTCACACCAAAAAGTATAATTAATTGATTTTATAACTTGCATATATGTTGTACAAGAAGCCTTGAGGCAAAATTTTGTATGTATGAGAAAATACACAATCATCAACTAACAACTTTCTATTTGATTTACTACATTAGCATCCATCATTATGCAATACAAATAACAATTGAATCTTTTATGTACATACATACTTAAAATGTTAGCTTGAGGCTCTGAATAATTAGGTAGCTACAATGTTCGGTAGAAACATTCCTCTACTTGCGGGTAGGAGTGCTATTATTTCTTTAAAAAAAGTACATATAACCCGTATATATTTTTTAATAACAAGTATAAATTTTTAGGATAAACCACCCTTATCACTTGAGGGACAAATAATTCACGTCCTATTCTCAGATCTATAGAATATACCAACAAAATTTCATAAGAATCGGTCAAATCGTAATCAAAAAGTTATGTTGCGAACGTGATGATATCAGAATTTTAAATATTAGAGACATATAGATAGTTTGAGAATATTTTAGTTTTATTAGAAAGTATATACATGAACGTGGATGGATGGAAAGGAGAGGAAAACAAAAAATAAATGGATGGATTGATATATTGATGATTGATGATATGACGGTTGATAGGATTCAGTGGAAGAGGATGACAAACTGCGTCGACCACAAATAATGGGATAAAGACAAGGCAATAATGATGGTAGATAGTTTGGGTGGAGGTCAATTCTCCTCTATAGACTAAGTGACCAGATTTCATCCTTATCTTTTGATTTTCAGACTATTCTGAAAGTTTGCTTTTACAGATTCACCGCACGAATTTGAAGTCAAGTGCAAGGCCACTCCAAACACGGAGAGAAGCCTTTGTTGTATCTGGGTAATCAGAAATGTATGTTTTATTCTAAATTTTTATTTAAATTTATAGTTATTTTATAGTACATTCTTGTATATGTATAATTCAATTTTGTCTTGTCAACAGTTTCTTAATATGTATCTTCGTATTCCAAGTCTTTTTCTATAGTTTTCCTTTTACCTATACACATATAAAATAAAATTACAACCTTCAGGGCATTAGCCGCTGCTAGGGGTTCGAACCTCGGCTCGGGTTAAAAGAGCAATACACAAGTTTCTTGCTCATTTTTCTTGTGGCGAGTATGCGTTTTGAATGAGTGGTAGAATAAAAATAATGTGACTCTTCAAAAGTGCTTATATTGAGTTTATTAGAAGATTATTTCTATTTTAGGTCTTCGTAACTTCGATATCCGTCGGATTTGGATAAATAATCGATCGGATATACTATTAGATTGCCTCGACTTTAGCGCATGCGCAGTCATCATTGTCATAAAGCTAAGTAGGCACTCTCTCTCCTTATTATATTTATATACAATTTATATAAATCCGACTCAATGATTAAATCGAATAATCGCGTATCTAAAATTACGGACAGTTTCCAACCTTCTGCTGTATGATATAAAACTCAGTTTTAATCGCCCTTGACGTTCTATCTAGTGAAAGTAAATTTGATTCGCCACCTGTCAAATATACCTTTCGTTTGAGGTAGAGTAAGAATGATTTATTATTGCCTTATAAAAAGTCATTTGATGGCATAAAAAGTGTTATTATGTATTTAGTAATACCTATTCATTTGTTCTCGCGAATTAATGCAGTGTAATTACTGTATTAAATAACTTAAATAATAACTTTTGGGTTATTACGTATCGTGGAACGGAATCCTATTAATATTTTAAAGGCGAAAGTTTATGATGCTTTATGGATGACTGTTAGTCTTTCACGCAAAACTACTGAAAGTATTGGAAATAATTTGTTTTTAGATTCGTATAATAAAATATTTATAGACTATATATTCTAATGATGTTCACAATGATGACACTCCAAACCACGAAAGAAGAAGACTTATAGAAGACAAATTACTATCTAACTTTAGTCAGACAGTACAGATAATTCGAACATCAGCTCAGACCTTCGTAATATTGGTTCATTTTGGATAACATAGGGGATAGATCTGAGGGACGAACGAGTACGGTTTGGAGCATAAGTTGATTGAGCTGGTCTTTGTGGTTGGGGTCATCGTCCTTACGTATGAGGACGGTGTCGTATGTTGGTGTGATAGCGAGGTAGGGACGTAGCGAGAGGAACCATAGGGAGGTTTGCTGCCATTATGGGATCGTTGGGTCAACATGAACGTGCCTCGGGCGACGTTAGGATATGGATCCGCCAATGACCATGACCGCCATTTCGTTTATTTGAAACAGCGGGTACACTCGTGGAACATCGATAGTCTGTATTAATATTATAAAGAGGGAATAATTTAGTTTTAGTACATTTGTAATAGAAAAAAAAAAGTTTCCACCGATTTATAAATTCGGTAGCAAGTAGTACAAGTTTTTTTATTCGTTTTCCACGCAGGCAGCGCCACGGGACAAAGGTAGTTTAATATGTAAGAATGAAAGAAGTCTGGTAGAATTGTGCTTCTATTAGATACATCGATGTAACAAAATATATCGTAAATGATATAGAAAAAAATTAAATTCCTTTTGAATTATTAATTCAAGACGTAAGTATGTACTAATTTAAAAAAAATATTATAATTGAAAATTCTGAATAAGTAAAAAAATACGACGTCTTGCCTTGCATAAAACAAGTGACGTCGTATTTTTTTTTTATGTTTTGTTCTATAAAGAAAGATTTTATAGAACAATCCAAACCCAATTCTTGAATATGTATTCGCAATTTAAAAATACCACTTAAAATAATTTATATTTATATTAGAAAACAAAAAATATTTTTATACATTTATTTAAAAATGAGGAATTATATGTACAATACGCACCTTTTTAAAATAAACGACACAAAACTCCAACCAACCGGCGATCCTTCAAAAGTCCAATCACAACAACAAAAAAAATCCAAAAAAGTTAATTTACAAAAAGAAAACCAACATCAAAATCCAAAACGTCTCGTCGACTGAATCACATTTTCCGTCAAACAAAAATGGTTCATCATCACTTACTTAGCATTACTTAATATCAACTTAAGTGAGGTTTAAGATACGTGTTACCACGACGAAGCTAGTGTTCACACTGAGTCCGAGTTCGAAGTAAAAGAGAATAACTTAACTATCACTTGTGAAACAGGGCCGGATTTGGTATTTAAACTATGTTAATCTATTCATGAGACAGAAGTGTGTTGCATTACACTAAACGTGTGTTAAGTACTTATTAACTACATCAAGTTAGAAACAAATTAATTAATTAAACTTTCGTTACGAATTAGTGGTAAATTAGTGCACGCGTTCAAAGTGATGAATGACAAGTTAAATTGCATTGTTATAACTACGATTTTTTTCTTCCTAATGGGGTTTCGACGAATTCTGACTTTAACAGCATTAATAGCCTTTCTAGTTAATAACACGCGGCCGCCCCGATCTTTTCTGGTCTTCGGCAGATGGAGCCCTCATCTAGCCTAGATCTCAAATCTTTAGATAAATATTGATCAGTTTTAGAAGACATAGCCTGCTCACAATGACACGGCGACATTGAGTCACTTAAATCTTTGGAGCAAATAGTGGCGAAATTTCCCTTGGATTTTTTTTTTCGGACTACTCTAATGCTGTTGGCCGCAGCTGGCCTTTACAGCTTCACCGGACGTTAGGGGGCGAGTGCAGATGGCACTCCAAACCCGCGGAAGGACTTATGGAGCGGCTGAAGGCCAACTCCTACCTGACGAATACGAGTCTGAGGGCACCACTAGGGGTTCGAACCTCGGCTCAGGCCGTCGTAATTTCGATCCCCGTTTGAATTGAATGGGGGATCGATCGGAGGGGACCATTTCCCTTGGATACAGTACGTAAATCCATAGATTCGTGGCCAAATAGATATCCTGGCCTGATAAAAGCCAAAGGTGGCCATTTCGAATAGAATATTTTTTTTGCTGAGACTTTAGAAAATATGTAGGTATAAATATTAAAAATTTTACATTACTTCATTAAAAAAATGCTTTTTCATTTGTAACAGAACTTATGGCTGGACTACATAGTTATAAAACTATATCATGATCATTGCCTTGCTTTTATCCCATTATTTAGGATTGGCGCAGTATGTCATTCTCTTCCACTGTATTCGTATTTTCTATACTGCATAGGTATTTCGGCATAAGTTTTTATACGGCCGGCCGCCTGCCTAATACCAACCCTCCTTGGGAACGTCATTGTTGGTTGTTTAACGCTACCGTAAAGGCGTTCGTTAGTACTAGTTGTTATTGACCCGGGATTTTTTTTAATTTTTTGTTTATTTATTAAAATTTTGGCCTAAGTTTGAATGGCATGCTAACCAAGTTTTAAGTTTTTTCTTCGCTACCCAGTTAGCAAAGAAGGACAGGAGGAAAATAATAAACAGACAGAATTAAACACATATATAATATACAAAGCACGTAATATATGTACAGGAGGGATTGATATGGATTGATAACCCCATTACTAGCAAAGTACAATGTAATTTTTCTTATAAACGACTTTTTCACATCCACATGATCCTTTGAGCAAGCGTTGGCCAGAGAAGCTAAGATTTTTTTTTAATAATTATGTATTCTGCCATGGACAGGAAGCTAAGAATATCACCAATGTTGCCACGAAGCTGTACATTTTTTTATATAATTTTATTTTAAAACCAATCGTAACTATAGTAACCTTTCTTGGATCAATAAATTTAATTTAATGTAATTTCAGTGTTGCCACAATGTTAATATTTGTTTCCAACATTATAGTCTTTCTTGACTGTTGAATACATCTCTGTTCTGGGAAGCGTCTTCTCACGAGAGTTTTTTCTGAGATTTAATTAATCTAATACCTGAACCCCTTTTTATATTTCCCCTCATAAAGGTCGACAGATGGTTAAAATAATAGGTAATCTTGATCACATAATAATTGAATCAGACGCTTGATTTCTGTTATTATATTCATGACATATTTATGGGAGATAGAAACGAGAGAGAGAGACTTTTTTATACCCCTATGGTGGCAAGCAAACATACGGATTATGCAATTATAAATAATACATATATATTGCATACACATATATATGACTATACATATATGTAGACATATATACGTATATATTTAAAACAGTATTCTGTATGGAGCTGGTAGAGGCAACCGAGTAATTTAAGGGCTGTATGGGCTTAGACTCTATTCCCTTTCCTTTTTTTTTTCATAAGAACAAAAAAAAACTAAAAAAAATGGTTTGAGTATTATATGGACGTGGAAATGTGTAAAATGCTGACTTACCGTACAAGGGCTCTCGATTTATTTGCCATTACATTAGACATGGAAATAATCTTTAGACAAATAAACTTAATATAAGAAGTTTTGAATAGTCATATTTTTTTAATTCTACAACTCATTCTGTTACATAAAAACAAAAAAATCAAGTAGTTCATAATGTTTGTATACTAAATCACTCTACTAGCATTACGGATTTATTTACATTAAAGCAGACGGCCTCGGCTGTCTAGCGGTTTAGCACACCGCTTTACTTCCGATGGTCGCGGGTTCGATTTCTCGCACGATACAAACATTTCTATTCATGAGTATGATTGTTTATATTGGTCTTTTCTATATATAATATACATACATTACCCATAACACAAGCTCTACTTAGCTTGGCTTAATTTTGTATATAAAATTCTCGTGTCACAATGTTAGTTATAGCATATTCCTCCGAAACGGCTTCTATTTTTATGAAATTTTATATGCACATTCAGTAGGTCTGATAATCGGTTATTTTCTATTTTTCATACCCTTAAGTGTTAAGGGTTGTCAACACTTAACATTTTTTATTTTTACGACAATTTTACTTTTTATATTTTTTATTATGTGGCAATAAAAATACATACAACCCAAAATGTTACCTTTCTAACATCAACCCCTATTTTTTAATACCGATTTGAATTTATACAGCAAAACAACGTTTGCGGGGTCAGTTAGTATAGTTAAATTTATGATATTTAGTATGAATGGTGATGATTAACGATATTTTTATTACACTAGTCTATACAGTGTCTGGTAGGTAGATTGTTGTGACGTCATACAGGTACATACTATGCCGGTACAGTTGGCCGGTGAAATGTTAAAGCTGTATTCATGGTTTTCTCAACGATCCAACCGGTACAGATAACTACAGAAGTGCGAAGTGGTTTTATTTAAAGGATGAGAAAGAAAAACCATGTTTCTTTATTTATTCTCTGTAGTGAGTCATCTTCTGCTTCTTTCTTATACCATTTATTTGTGGTAGGAGTAATATGTTTTTTTCTTCATTCATCCCTGTTCGCAATCATCTCGTTATTTACTCACTTTCTTACCATATCATCTTTCACACAGTCCATCCATCTCTTTCCTCTGCCCTTATAACCGTCCACTTTCATATGTTATAATTAATTTTTTTTTTAATTTAATTAAACACTTGAATCTTACTGATGTTATTAACGTGGAAGTTTGTAAGTATAGTTACTCTAGCTTCTTCTCTAGCTAGTTGTTACTCTTATACGCTAAAACTACTGAATGGATTTAAATTAAAGTTTAGAATAGTGTAGCTTATACAAAAGAATAACACAGATTAAAAAAAAAACGTAGGCGAAACGGCGGGCACAGCTAGTTATTTATATAAGTTTCGGTGTATGTACAAAATAATATATATATTAAGAACAACTTCCTATAGTACCTATATGTTATATTACTGAACATATCTTAGAATATAAGATACACTATTGTATTGGGTATGTATATGATGATTGTTGTGCAAATAAGTAAATAAATTTATTAGAAACGACTTTTTTTTATTGATAACAACAAAAAACAGTTATTATTGTTTTATCTTAAAAATCGAATGTATAGGTCAAATAAAAAAGATATATAAAGGATAAAAAAAGATAAAAAAAAGACTGAAGTTTAGCTGAAACTTGTACAAATCAAATTAAACAAACAAATACTATCAACATCTGATAACAAGCAGTAAATGTTATGAAAAAAATATTGTAATATAAAAAAAACACTTGTGTTGTCGAGTGTACATTCTAAATAAGTAAATACACGGTCACTTTCTTCGGCACGCCTTGTCCGCTCGTCTGTGTTGCGCAATCTCCGTAACCGGCCGGCACTCGTGCAGACCCAACACTGAATACCTGGGCCCCATTCCATTGAATACATTTGCCTAAATATTTAAAAGTAAAAAATTACGAGAGCAGTTGTAAACTTTCGCATTAGTTGTTTCTTCCGACTTTGCTTGTATGTTTCGTGGGCGGTGTTGCTTATCTTTGTTATAGAACGTAAATATATATTGTTATTATAAAGAGAGTGAATTGTTTTATTAGGAAGCAATGCAATTCAACAAAAAAAAGTAACTTTTGATTTTGTCTGCTTTTTTTATATTAGTTGGGAACCATCTTAATTATAAAGGCAAATATTTGTGAGTATGGGTGGATGGATGGATGGATACTTGTTTGTTACTCTTTCACACAAAAACGATTGAATGGATGTTTATGAAACTTTACAATAATATACATCTCATATACTTCTATCATCATCATCATAATTTCAGCCTGAAAGACGTCCATCGCTGGACAAAGGCCTCCCCTAAAGATCTCCACGACGATCGGTCCTGCGCTGCTCGCATCCAACGCCTTCTAGCGATCTTGACCAGATCGTCGGTCCACCTTGCTGGAGGCCATCCCACGCTGCGTCTTCCGGTCCGCGGTCGCCACACGGGGACTATACTGCCCAAATCTGTCTTACGAGCTATGTGCCCTGCCCATTGCCACTTCAGTTTCGCAATTCTTTGAGCTATGTCGGTCACTCTGGTCCTTCTGTTTTTTCGTACACTCTACCTCTGGTAAAACGTGTTTGAGAATCGAATCCGGGACCTTACGTAGCAACATGGCTATTACATCACAGATGTCGCCAATTTCTTTGACTATTTGACATTTATAAATTATTTATCAGATCTCTTTCTCCGCGCGTTTAATTTTGTATCTGCATATCCTTTTACAAATTTAAAAATCACCATAAAT